AATGGAAATGCAGAGAAACACTTTGGCAGCATGGGGAGTCTCAGACTGCCTGTCAGACAGGTTCCTCATGGGAAGATGAGCCATCTGGCTCGCAGAGGGGATGCCTACACACACAGGCATGAGGCAGAGATCAAGTATCTGCCCACTTCATAAGTAACTTTCTTGTAGAGATAAATTACTGTACATTGATTTGTGGTCCCTTGGGGATACCTTTCCACTTATAGTTGTCTTTTTCAAAATAAGACAATGCATTAGCCATATGGTCTATATCTTCAGTTTATTTTTTTTTTTTTTTGAATCAGTCTCTCTCACGCTCACAGCCACTTCAGCCATGACCTGCTGGGCTCAGGCAATCCTTTAGCTTCAGCTTTCCAAGTAATTGGATCCACAGGTATGTACCACCATGTCAGGCTAGCCGCCACCCCCACCACCCCCGCCCCCCCAGAGCCCCGAGGAAGGGACAACGTATGTGGCTCCCGCCAAAGAGCCCTCCGTCAACACCGCGCTGGTTCCCCAGCTCTCCGCAATCACACGAGCACTCACGCCTTCCCCTAGTATGGTCCTTGGGAGCATTGAACCTGAAATTGTGTACGCAGGCTACGACAGCTCAAAACCAGACACGGCCGAAAATCTGCTCTCCACTCTCAACCGCTTGGCAGGCAAACAGATGATTCAAGTCGTGAAGTGGGCAAAGGTACTTCCAGGTAGGACTACCTCTCCGTCTGTTCGAGGTCTAACGAAACAAGTCAGGACAGCAGACTTTGCCACACGAAACAGTGCGATTGGAGTTAGCTTCCTATTAAATCCTGGTATGCCGGGCCCTTTGGGAGGCTGAGGTGGGAGGATTGCTTGAGCCCAGGAGTTTGAGACCAGCCTGGGCAACATAGCGAGACCTCGTCTCTACAAAAAAATTTTAAAAATTAGATTAGCTGGGTGTGGTAGTGTGTGCCTGTAGTCCCAGCTACTTGGGAGGCTGAGGCAGAAGGATCACCTGAGTCCAGGAGGTAGAGGCTGTGGTGAGCCGTGATCGTGATCATGCCACTGCACTCCAGCCTGGTTGATGGAGTGAGGGTCCTAGCTCAAAAATAATAATATTAATAATACAGTAAATCCTGGTATCGATTTTTTAAATGGGTATCAAATTGATCAATTGTCAATGCACTTATTTCTTCTGAGAATGTAGGGTTAAGGATTCTATGGTTAAAATAACAGATATGTTTCTTACTTTGAAAATTGAAATGGAAATTTTATCCAGAAAATACCAATGAGGTAAAATATGTTCTGTTTATGAAAGCACAAATTGAGCCCATTATTAGCAGCTTATAACCAGGATTAATCTGGGCATAGACCAAGTAGCCTGAGGCCTAGCCAGTAAGTTGTAGGAGACCCTGAAAGATTCTTCAGTCTGAAAAATACCACCTTACCTCTTAAATTCTCCTTGAAATTTATTTTCCACTCATTTTTGTGATTGAATTTTTATTAAATAGGTCCCTTTTAGTCTCCAGAAACATCACTTAGAATTATCACATTAATCCAGAGCAGTTTCTTAGATTGCACGTGTCATCCAGCAGTCATAAGGAAAAAGACTGGGGAAGTTCTGAAGACGGAGTCTTTGAAGAGGAACTTGGCCTGGGTGAAACTCCACAGGCAGAATGACATGATGCCACTGGGAGTATTATGTCATACTTGCTCCATCCCACCTGTCAATATCAACTCTAAAATCAAGGGGTGGTCAAAACAAGGGCTGGAGGTCTCTGGAGGAAGTCTGTCAGGGAGGGGAGGTACCTGGGATACTTGTTCTACTGCAGAACTTCGTCAAAATCTGGTATTAGGCCAAGCTTGATGGCTCAGCCTGTAATCCCAGTACTTTGGGAGGCCGAGGTGGGCAGATTGCCTGAGCCCGCGGGTTCGAGACCCGCCTAGGCAACTTGGAGAGACCTCATCTCTACAATAAATCAAAAAATCAGCCAGACGTGGTAGCGCATGCCTGTAATTCTGGCTACTCGGAAGGCTGAGGCGGAAGGATCGCCGGAACCCAGCAGGTCGAGGCTGCGGTGGCCGGGAGCGGCCACTGCACTCCAGCCTGGGCGACAGAGTGAGACTCCAACTCAAAAAAAAAGAAAATGTAGTATTATCCCAGACTGTAGAAAGTAAGGAATAAGACTTTTTAAGCACTCAAACTCAAGAAAACTCAAATCTTCCACCATGACTGCAGACATGCAAGTGGTGACAGTCATTAAGCTGTCCTTGATTTTAGAGTTGATATTGACAGGTGGGATGGAGCAAGTATTATAGGTTAATACAGGTTCTCTCAGTCTAACCAGAGTTTAGGCTGTCTACACTGAAACTTGTGAACTCTCCAATTTCAGTTTGCCCTGGCAGTTCACCCTCATTGAGAATTTAGAGCGAATTTAAAACAAGATATGGAACAGGGTGGAGCCAGGGGTAGGAGCTGAAATGACTGGTAGATTGATCTGAGTTTATTAGAGACTGTTTGGGGTTGACTTAAGAAGCTTCTTCCTGGAATGTACTTAAATGCTAAGTGTATTTCTGTGATTAATTGTTCTGTTCTTCAGGATTTAAAAACTTGCCTCTTGAGGACCAAATTACCCTAATCCAGTATTCTTGGATGTGTCTATCATCATTTGCCTTGAGCTGGAGATCGTACAAACATACGAACAGCCAATTTCTCTATTTTGCACCAGACCTAGTCTTTAATGAGTAAGTACCTATTAATTAGCCTTCATAAAATAAATTGCAGAGTTATTTGTTATGCTTTTTTTAAAAAATAATTTCGAACAGATGTACATTTGTGAAAGAATCTACCAGTACTGTCATTTTTTTTAAGTAAAAAATTTAGAGATTTTTGAGAATTTAAAAATTGCTTTTTTGCAACATGACACTGTGCACTTCTGAATATATAGAAATCAGTATATATGAATCCCACATAATAGCATATGGGAATTTTCCCAAAAGAAAGATGATCCAATTGGCTCTGAAAATTTGACTGGTACAAAGCCACAATTAATAGAAAACAGTCTCTTTTGGTATCTACTCCAGTTGGGAAGACTGTCTAATTTCTAGGAAATGTGAATGCATAAAGTGCCAGTTTTTAGGAGCATCATATAATGGTTCTTTTGTTAACAGTATACAGCTGCTCAATGTGTTTTCATGACAATCATAATTACCCCTTTGCCATCATAAAAGAAGCCAAAATGTTATTCTGTAGTGAAACATTTTTAGTTTTATGATGCATTTTAAGAGATTGAAAGAATGGTAATAGATTTTTCTTTGGCCACGAGCTCCTTCCTATTTTAAGTGTACATTTCAATACTGTTTGCATTTCACATTAGCACATTTCATTTATGTTTATATCTAGCGGTGCTTCTTTGTAATTGTTGGGTCAAAAAATACTTAACAGGGAACATTTGAATGATGGTAGTAACCAAGCCATGTTCTAACAGATGGCTCTCTCTAGATATGAAAATAGGGTCTACGCTAGGGGAGGAGGCAAAATAAAATGGATTGTTGGTCAGAGAAAGGAAAACAATGCAAAAAATTAAAAGTAGACTACCAGTGCCAATATGTCAGTAGTACCAGTAGTCATCACCTAAGAGTACCATTTCACCCTAATGTGATGTACCACAAAGACAGTTTCCTCCAAAGATAAATTAGGAACATCCGTTTTGGTTCTCAAGGTTGCCCTCTTTTGGAAATTAATCAGAAAGAATAATCCTAGTGCTGCATAAATATTCACCAAAAGCATGAAGTAAAGTCAAACAACTGACATACACATTATAATTTACTTGTATTCCTTGATAATCAGTTGATGTTATTAAATGGTAAGCCTGTTTTAAAAAACATTCTATAAACTAAAAGAAAAAACAAGGAGGGTCCCTGTTTTAAAAGGAGGTATGTAATAAAGAACCTCTATTAGTGCCATCAGTGTACGGGCATATGGGTTTATTTTAACAGAAAATGAAAATCATCCATTTAATTTTATTTAGTGCATCTATTAATATTTTTCTCATAAAATATATACAACATAAACTTACCATTTTTAAATGTACCGTTCAGTGGCACTAAGCACATTCATTGTTGTGCAACCATTACCACCATCCATGCCCAGAACATTATCAGCTCAAGCAGAAACTCTGAATCCATTCAACAAGAACTCCCCATTCTTCTCTCCCCCAAAACCCTGGTAACCTCTAGTCTATGACTGTGCCTATTCTGTTTAATATAAATGGACTCCTACAATACTTATCCTTTTGTGCCTGGCTTATTTCACTTAGCCTAATATTTTCTGTGTTCATTCATCTTGTAGCATGTGTCAGAATTCCATTCCTTTTAATGGCAGAATAATATTCCATTGTATGTATATAAGGCCAATCTTCATTGTTCATGGATTCCATATTTGCAGATTTGCCTACTGGCTGTATTTATTTGTAACCTCACAATCAGGACTCACAGCATTTTCATGATTGTTCACAGACAAGTGCAGAGCAGCAAAAAATTTGAGTCCTCCAGGAAGCACATTCAAGCTGAGATCAAACAATGAGCCACTCTGCCTGCTTGTTCCAGCTCTCAGCTGTAAACAAGCATCCTTTTCACAGTCTATTCAGTGCCATGGTTTTTGCATTTTTATGTTTTTGTTGGTGATTCCACTGTTTAAGATGGCCCCCCAAGCATGGTGCTGAAGTGCTAGCTAGTGTTCCCAAGCTCAAGAAGGCTGTGATGTGCCTCGCAGAGAAAATCTGTTAGACAAGCTTCATTCAAGCATGAGTCATAGTGCTGTTGGCTCTAATTCAACGTTAAGAAATCAGCAACAGACATTAAATGTCTTTAAACAGAAACGCAAAACAAGATTAGGTATAGATCAGTTGACAAAAATGTTGCTACTAGAAGTTGTAAGAATCATAGCCCTCCTAATCCCCTAGGAGGAATGGTTGGTTATTTGCTAATGCAGTATTTGTTGTGACTTTATAGAACATAACTATAGCAAATATTTTGTCCAATTATCTGTTGTTGGGCACTTGGGTGGTTTCTACTTTTAAGTGTTGTAAACAATGCTGGATTTACAAACATTTGTACTTGGGTAGGCAAATGTCTTTTTGACACCTACTTTCAGTTATTGGGGGTCTAACCCTAGGAGCGGAATCCTTGGGGCATTTGGTAACTTTATGTTTAACTTTTTGAGGAACTGCCAAACTGTGTTCCATAACAGTTGCACCATTTCATGTTCCCACCAGCAATGTACAAAGGTTCTGATTTGTTCACATCCTTATCAACATGCTTTTCTTTTCTTTTTTAATAGCAATCCTAGTAGGTGTCAAGTGGTATCTCATTATGGTTTTCATTTGCATTTCTCTGATGACTACTGATGTTGAGCATCTTTTCATATGCTTATTGGCCATTTGTATATCTTCTTTGTAGAAATGTCCACCCAAGCCTTTTGCCCATTTTTAAAATTGGATTGTTTGTCTTGTTTGTTCTTGAGTTGTAGGCATTCTTTATATATATCATTTGTAAATATTTTCTCCCAATCTGTGCCTTTTTACTCTCTTGAAAGTGTCCTTGGATGCACAAATGTTTTTAATTCAAATGAAGTCAAACATCTTTTGTTGTTGTTTTGCTGTTGTTGTCTTTCCTTTTGGTATCACTTATTATTTTTGTTTGTAAACATCTGAGTGTAAAGGGTTCCAAGCAAAATACAGAATTGTAAGAATCTTTTTTCACAAATGAAACTAAGGGGAAAGTACCTTATATTTGAAGCCTAGGGAAATGAATGTCTTTAAAGGGGGTTAGAAATAAATAAGAAACTAGGCCAGGAGCAGGGGGTCTTGCTGGTAACTCCAGCACTTGGGAGGGTCAAGGTGGGAGGATCACTTGAGACCAAGAGTTGAAGACCAGCCTGAGCAACATAGTGAGACCCTGTCTCTACAAAAGATAAAGAATTAATAAGCCAGAAATGGTTGTGCACACCCATGGTCCTAGCTCCTCAGGAGGCTGAGGCATGAGGATAGCCTGAGTCCAGGAATTTGAGGTTACAGTGAGCTATGATTTGGAAGGTAGGGGAAGGGAGAGATTGACATCAGTTTTGAACATGTTAAGACTGAATTGCCTTTAAAAAATTATCTAAGAGGAGACATTAAATAGACATATATATATATTATATATATAATTTCAGAGGTAATTGAAGGAGGAATGTTGTGTCATGGGTCTCAAGTAAAGAGAGTCTTCAAGAAAAATGTGACTACCCATGTTAAATGCTGTTGTGGGCTGGGCATGGTGGCTCATTCCTATAATCCCAACACATTGAGAGACTGAGGCAAGAGGCCTGTTTGAACCCAGTTCAAGACCCGCCTGAACAACATAGTGAGATGTCATCTCTACAAAAAATAAAAACTTAGCTGAGCATCATGGTGCACACCTGTAGTCTCAGTTATGAGAGGCTGAGGTGTAAGGATCACCTGAGCCCAGGAGGTTGAGGCTGCAGTGAGCTGTGACACTGCACTCTAGTCTGGGCAATAGAGTGAAACCCTGACTCAAAAACAACAACAACAAAACAAATTGGGGAAAAAATGCTGTTGTGATCCTAGTGAGATGTGAACTACAAAACTCAGAGCATGCCTCATGTGTTGCCTGCCAGTGCCTTCCATGTTCATGGCTTCTCAACATGTTCTTCCACTTTCCCTGACCCTGGCTTTGCCTCCACACCCTCCCACCCAAGTGAAGGTAGCAACCTGGCATTTCATTTAACAAGGTGTGATGCCGTTCACTTGAGGGCCGAGTGCGCCGAGGTGGTCCTCCCTTGCTCTGCCACCAACTCTTGGCTGTTGGTACCACCTGTCACATAGCATCACCAGCTCTTTTTTAAGTGTCTGTATCCCTCCCTCCTTTCTCTGGTACCTCCTCATGGAAGTCACAGACTCTGGCTTAATCATTTTTGAATTTCCAGTACCTGGCATTGTGCCTGAGTCATAGATAGTATTCTGTAAATATTTGCTGAATAAATGAATCACACAGGCTATTAATCAGTCTGCAAGGTGCTTCCTAAGTTTCCATTTCTAATTATGAGGATGAAGTTTATGATAAAGTAGTGTGATTTGGGGCCGAGTGTGGTGTAATCTCAGCACTTTGGGAGGCCGAGTGAGAGGATTGCTTGAGCCTAGGAGTTCAAGATCAGCCTGGGTAACATAGCAAGACCTTACTTCTATAAAAAATCAAAAATTTAGCCAGGCATGGTAGTGCATGCCTGTCATCCCAGCTACTCAGGAGGCTGAGGCTTGAGGATCACCTGAGCCCAGAAGGTCAAGGCTGCAGTGAGCCATGATTGTGCCACTGCACTCCAGCCTGGGCAATAGTGAGATCTCTGACTCAAAAAAAAAAAAAATGAATGAATGAAAACAAAGAGTGATTTGGGGATGCATGGTTTTTACAACAGATATATTGCTATATGTAAAACCAAGGAACAAAACCTGAATAGTTGACCATTTGTGTTTGCCTTTAACTGTGAAACAAATCTGAAAGTTCCCAAAGATCTTATCTTCCGTATTAGCATAACTGGAGACAGGAAAGGTAGGGAGTAGGGAATAATAAAGGAAACAATCTTTCCAGTTTTTTATTAAACATTTGGGTGAAGATATGAGTTAATACTTTAAATTAACATAGAACTTTTCTTATTATAAATTCAAAACTTTTCAAATATGTACTAAGTG